GTTTTGCGGAAAAAGTTGGCCAGTCTAGACACAGCCCTACAGAATGAGAAGTGACTGTCTAGGAAGGAGTACAGCAGAAAGGGGTTTGGGGTCAGAGTCTAAACATGAATCAACAGTGTGACGCTGTTGCAAAAAAAGCAAACATGATTCTGGAATGCATTAACAAGAGTGTTGTGAGCAAGACATGAAAAGTCATTCTTCCACTCTACTCTGTGCTGATTAAGTCTCAGCTGGAGTATTGTGTCCATTTCTGGGCACCACATTTCAAGAAAGAGGTGGAGAAATTGGAGAAGGTCCAGAGAAGAGCAACAAGAATGATTAAAGGTCTAGAAAACATGACCTATGAAGGAGGATTGAAAGGAAGGTTGAATCTTTTATGGTCGATTTCTGGTCACCTGATTTTGCAGAGTCGAAGGTCCATCCCCTTATTATGGGGAAGAAGCCAATATAGGCCGAAGTAGTGCGTCTCCATTAGGGAGCCTTCCAGCAATTCAGAGAGTGATGCACCATGGGTAGCTTTGCATTCTGGGCTATGCTCCTGGTGCCCACTGGGGCCAAAACTGTGCTGTGAATGGGTACGGGTTCATGTCATGAGTATCCCATAATGCACTTGTCTAGTCCCTCCCCCATTGCTTGAGATCAATGGGAGGCAGTCTTTTCATGCCTTTTTTTGCCCCGGTTGCTCATGCAGATACAATATTAGCGTGAGCATGGATCCAATTTTGCAGCAAACCATTGTGATGCTGATGCCTATGTTGGTGCCCCTGACAGTGCTGTACTTCAAGAGTGTACGCATGTCACTTCACCAGGAAGAGAATGAAAATGAATCTTGGCTTAGCATAGAGTCACTGCTCATGCAAGCCCTCGTGCTAATGCAAGTGCAGCCACCTGTAAGTCCTTTGGACACAGTATAATTCCAGTTCTGGTGCTGTGAGACAAGCACAGACTGGTCAAAAGACATTGTGATGTAGAGCTGGGATGATCAGCAATGGCTGCAAATCTTCTGATTGCACAAGGCCACTTTCTTTGAACTTTCTCCATCCCTAGAGGTTTTTAAGTCCTGGCTTGACAAAGACCTGTTTGGGATGATTGAATTGGGATTGGTCCTGCTTTGGGCAGGGGGCTGGACTCGATGACTCCTTAGATTTCTTCCAGCCCTAGGATTCTATGAACTTTGCAAATGGCTTTTCCCTGCCCTGAAGTGCAAGAATACCTGAATGAGACCTGCTTTGACTGTGGAGAAGCACATGGCAACAGCCCTCTGAAAGTTTGCAGTGCCTGACAGCTCCATTCACTTAGGAATCAATTGGGAGTGGGGAAATCTACAGTGAGGGCTGTCGTTAGACCATTCTGCTATGGAGAGTTGTGACTCTGGGATAAGTGGATACCATAGTGGATGGCTTTGTAGTGAATGGATTCACTAATTGCACTGGAGCAATAGATAGAATGCACAGCCCCATCTTGTCACCTGACTACCTTACTAAGGAGTACATAACAGCAAGGGGTACTTCTCCATGGTGCTACAGGCACTGATGGATCACAAGGGCTGCTTCACTGAAATCACCATGGGATGGTCAGGAAAGGTGCATGATGTGTGCATATTTAGGAACTTCTGCCTCTTCAGAAAGATGCGTGTTAGGACTTTTTTCCCAGACAGGAAAATCAGAATTAGGGAAGTGGAAATGCCTATCTAGAGCAAGGGTGTGGAACTCCCCTCAGCATTGGGGTGTCCGTGCTGGTGCTCCAACCCCCCCTGCTGTTGTCCATGTAGGGCTAGACTACACAAAATCTACTAGCCCTGGCCTGACTAATTTTTCCGTGAGTCAGTGGTCACTGACCTTAAAAAGGTTCACCATCCCTGGTCTAGATGGTGCTTGGTTCTGCTGTGAGGGCAGGAGATGTGACAACTTCTTGAGATCCCTTCCAGTTCTAAAATTCTATGATTTTATGTGTATAATTTAATATATATTTACTTGTTTTTACTCTAGCTTCAGGCTCTGCTCCTCACATTTCTATTGAGCATGATGAAGGTGGAATCCGGTTGGTGTGTCGATCATCTGGCTGGTACCCAGAGCCTGCGGTGCTGTGGATAGATCCCCGTGGACAGCATGTACTATCACTCTCAGAAACAAATTTCCAAAAAGTCAATGAGCTGTTTGAAATAGAAAATTCCATCATTATTACAGAGAATTCACATCAGAACTTGTCCTGTGTAGTCAGAAACATCTATACCAAACATAAAGAGAAATCAACATTGTTCTATATATCAGGTAAATTACTACCATAACCATAGAATATGAATAGCAACAGGAAAAAGATAACAGCAAATTGATTAATAATATTAGAATGTATCAATGGCAATGAAGACTAGAGTCTGATATTGAAAAAACACAAAAGAAACAAACTAATAGTGGAATTTTCAAAATTGCTTTGAAGACTTGTCCTAAATCATTCAGACACTTTTGAAGATCCCACATACTTTGTACAGGTTGCACAGTAATAAAATCAGGCTAGTTATTATAGTTGTTTATTACAAAAACACGGGATAATTGACATGTCTGAAAATGTATTATAATCCACTTGCAATCTTTGACACAGCTGATTTTGAGAATCCCATTCAAATCTTTAAATGTATAGGAATGAATAATAGAAGGAAATTCTAGTAGGCAAATATTCAAAGACCTTTCCCAATCTTAAAAAAATATAGAATTTCAAAACATATCTCCCACCCAGGATTAAATCTTTAACTCTGTCCCAAGACTCCTGCATCCCCATGGTGAAATCTTGGCCATATTGAAGTTATTTGCAAAACTTCCATTGACTTTCATGACATCAAGATTTCAGTCCACCTTCTTGAAGCACTGATTGCAAAAAGCAGTGATCACAGCTCACTGTCAACCATTAGCAAGTTGTGTCACAACAGGTGTGAGTTTTAAGGAAAGACTTGGAGGAAAAGATGGTTGGTTTATAGATGCTATTTGAGAATTTTTCACACTCAACAGGAGCAGTTTTTGTGAAAGAGTTAATTGAGAAGCAGAGAACTGAGAAATCAAAATATGCAAGGGTATGTCTAGACTACAGAGTTTTGTCGACAAAAGTGGACTTTTGTCGACAAAACTATACCAGCGTCTACACTACCGCTGAGTTCTGTCGACATAACATCGACAGAACTCAGCAGTTTTGTCGACGCTGGTAAACCTCATTTTACGAGGCATAACGCCTTCTGTCGACAGAGTTTCTGTCGACAGAAGGTGTTATTGAATGTAAACTGTCCTTTGCGTCTACACTACCATGTCGACAAAGCAGCTTGCTTTGTCGACAGAACTCAATGTAGTCTAGACGCTCTTTGTCGACAGAAGCTTTGTCGACAGTATCTGTCGACAAAACTTCTGTCGACAGAAGCCTGTAGTCTAGATGTACCCCAAAATTGGTGAAGTGAAATCCAGAGTTGACTTTATAATGATACCATAGCTTGGGTAGATAGGGTGGGGGTGAAACAGAGGAGGGTTTTGTAAGTGAAGACAAGACATTTGTGATTAAATAGGGGAAGGAATGGAGGGATTTAAAGAGGGGAACCTATGAAGGAATTTAAAGAGGGGCATGACATTGTCAGAGTCATGAGTCATGAGGATGATCTCAGCAGCAGTATCTTGTAGTGATTTGATCTGGGTGGTGATGGAGCACTGAAGTTTTGTAGGAGGGATCAGTAATCAAAGTACAAGATAATGAGGGCTTGAACTAGAAGTGATGTGCCCTAGAAAAGGGAGGTTGGACACATTTACAAGAAGACACAGAGATTTTGACCTGAGATTTATGCAAAAGAGTACAATGAATACTTCCTTCAAAAAAAGTTTGTATGAATTGTGATTATGTTTCATTTAGAGATTTTGGAAGCTGGTAATTTCTGAATATTGCAAGTCTTGTTCCCTCCCTGGCCAAATTCCACCCTGATCAGTGAATTTAGTCCTGAATAATCTGGCCTGTGATCATTACATTATTAGTGGTCATATTACACTAGATGCTTTAATGGAAATGACAGCCTCATTGTGCTGAGCATTGGACGAACACATAGTGATAGATAAACCAACCAGATAAAAGACGGGAAAGGAAATGAAGCATAAAAGAGGGAAATGGTGAGATTAAACTCATACAGCAGAACACCAGACGAGTAGGGAACATAATTCAATGAATTTCAATGCAAGCTTTAGACATTGACCCAAGTTGCCTCTCAGGGTATGGAGCCATGTAGTCTAGACATACCCTCAGTTCAAAACAACACAGTGAATTAAAACAGGTTGATCAGTGAATGTATTGATTGGTTGGAGTCTATATTGATGAACTGTGTTGCTTGGAGTCTCTTGTAATATAGGTTTCTGGTGCTTTGTGTATTGCAGACAGCATTGTTATTTCCACCTTTGTTATTTACCACTCCTGCTCAGGGCAGCTTTATATTATATGTAATCACCTGAGCTTGAAAGAGAAACAATAACAGGAAATTTGGAAATGGCAGAGGTACTTAATGACTTCTTTGGTTCAGCCTTCACCAAGAAGTCGGATGATGAAGGAAAGCCTAACATAGTGAATGCTAGAATGGGAATGGGGTAGGTTTAGAAGTTAAAATAAGAACAAGTTAAAAATCACTTAAAAAGTTAGATGTCTGCAAGTCACCAGGGCCTGGAGAAATGCATCCTAGAATACTCAACGAGCTGATAGAGGAGGTATCTGAGCCTTTAGCTGTCACCTTTGGAAAATCGTGGAAGTTGTTCCAGAAGACTGGAAAAGGGCAAATATAGGCCCAGCATGGATTTGTAAAGAACAAATCACGTCAAACCAATCTGATAGCTTTCTTTGATAGGATAACAAGTCTTGTGGATAAGGGAGAAGCAGTGGACATGGTTTACCTAGACTTTAGTAAGGCATTTGACATTTATCAATATTCTAGGGAAATACAACCTTGGTGGGGCTACTGTAAGGTGGGTCATAACTGGCTGGATAACCATTCTCAGAGAGTAGTTATTAATGGTTCACAATCATGCTGGAAGGGCAGAACAAGCGGGGTTCTGCAGGGGTCTGTTCTGGGCCTGGTTCTGTTCAATATCTTCATCAACGATTTAGATGATGGCATAGAAATCAGAGAAGGTCCAGAGAAGAACAACCAAAATGATGAAAGGTCTAGAGAACATGACCTATGAGGGAAGACTGAAAGAACTGGGTTTCTTTAGTTTAGGAAAGAGAAGACTGAGAGGGGACACGATAGCAGTTTTCAAGTATCTAAAAGGGTATGTCAGGAAGGAGGGAGAAAACTTGTTCTCCTTGGCCTCTCACGATAGGACAAGAAGCAATGGGCTTAAACTGCAGCAAGGGAGGTTTAGGTTGGACATTAGGGAAAACTTCCTATCAGGGTGGTAACAGCCAGCATGGATTTGTAAAGAACAAATCATATCAAACCAATCTGATAGTTTTCTTTGATAGGATAACGAGTCTTGTGGACAGGGGAGAAGCGTTGGACGTGGTATACCTACAGTTTAGTAAGGCATTTGATATGGTCTGGCATGATCTTTTTATCAATAAACTAGGGAAATTCAACCTAGATAGTGCTACTATAAGGTGGGTGCATATCTGGCTGCATAACCATTCTCAGAGAGTAGTTATTCATGGTTCACAATACTGCTGGAAGAGCATAACAAGTAGAGTTCTTCCAGGGTCTGTTTTGGGACCATTTCTGTTCAATATCTTCATCAATGATTTAGATATTGGCATAAAGAGGACGCTTGTGAGGGACCTCCCGTCCCCTCATGCTTTATGAAATGGACTCATGGACATGAATATACATAACTCAAAGGTGGTTTTAGCAAATTATTTCATGTAACCCATCAATCTTCATGTCGTGATCTGCTGGTTCTATTTATCTTACTCTGTTGCATGTATCATTTGTGTGTGTAAAATTAGACACATGCAGTGGGGAATACTTTGTGAGTTTCAAATGTTTGAATGGTAGATAGTCTTAGCTGTGGTTGGTAGGTACTGACTATGTGACTCCCCATGCAATAATAGGGTAATCTTTAAAAACAATAGGAACATAGAAGTGTTTGGTCTTTTCACACCCAAGGGTGGGAACCACAGACCCCAGGGAAAAGGAGACTTCCCTGGTCTGGAAGGCTTGGCTGGGAAGGAAACAGTTTTAGGGTGAGTTTGTAATAAGTTTTTACTGAAGTTTTAGTGTAGCAGTAGCTAAGCGTTTTCTGTTATTTTGAGTTTGTAATCTACTTTGCTTTGCCTGTTTTCACTTATTACTACTTAAATCCTACTGCTTATACTGAATAAAATCACTTGTATACTCTATCAAGCCCAGTGTAAATAATTATTATCTGGGGAACAATCAGTGTGTACATTTCCCCCTTTCATTGTTAAAGGGGACTTACCTAAATAATTCATTTGTGGTTCTGATCCCATTTGGGGAGTGGTATTGCAGGAAGCTGAGCCCTAAACTGCACTCTCTTTGAATCAGTGCTCCCCCTGCTTGTCAGGGGGAGCACTGCTCTGAGCTTGGAGCTTTGGCTGGGGGAGACCAGCAGAGCTGGCCTAGCAGGACCAGGCGGTGAGAAGCCCCAGAGAGCAGGAAGGCGAGTGGCAGTGGCTGTGTCAGCAACCCGGGAGGCACCCCCGAGGTGTCGTCTGTGACTGTACCCCGTCACAATGCTTATTAAGTTTGCAGATGATCCCAAGCTGGGAGGGGTTGCAAGTGCTTTAGAGGACAGGGTCATAATTCAAAATGATCTGGACAAACTGGAGAAATGGTCTGAGGTCAATACGATGAAGTTTAATAAGGACAAATGCAAAGTGCTCCACTTAGAAAGAAACAATCTGATTCACACATACAGAACAGGAAGTGATTTCTAGGAAGGAGTACTGCAGAAAGAGATCTAGGGGTCATAGTGGATCACAAGCTAAATATGAGCTAACAGTGTGATGCTGTTGCAAAAAAAAGCAAACATGATTCTGGGCTGCATTAACAGGTGTGTTGTGAGCAAGACACAAGAAGTCATTCTTCTGCTCTACGCTGCTCTGATTGGGCCTCAGTTGGAGTATTGTGTCCAGTTCTGGGCACTGCATTTCAAGAAAGATGTGTAAAAATTGGAGAGGATCCAAAGAAGAGCATCAAGAAATATTAAAATGTCTAGAGAACATGACCTATGAAGGAAGGCTGAAAGGTTGAGCTTGTTTAGTTTAGAAAAGAGAAGACTGTGAGGGGATGTGCTGGTGGTTTTCAGGTATCTAAAAGGGTGTCACAAGGAGGAGGGAGAAAAATTGGTCTCCTTTGCCTCTGAGGACAGGGCAAGAAGCAATGGGCTTAAACTGCAGCAAGGGAGGTTTAGGTTGGACATTAGGAAAAACTTCCTGCCTGTCAGGGTGGTGAAACACTGGAATAAGTTGCCTAGGGAAGTTGTGGAACCTCAATCACTGGAGATATTAAAGAGCAGGTTGGACAGACATCGGTCAGGGATGGTCTAGATGGTGCTTGGTCCTGCCGTGAGGGCAGGGGACTGGACTTGATGACCCATCGAGGTCCCTTCTAGTTTTAGTGTTTTAGGATTCTATGATTTTTGCTCCTGTTTACAAAGAGATGTGAGTCCCTCTTGCTTTTCTTTACAGATGCCTTTTTCCCAAGGATGAATCCCTGGATGGTGGCTTTGTGGGTGATCCTGGTGACTTTGTTTGGTTTTATTGGCCTCACTATTTATCTCTTTAAAATAAAAGGTAAACATTAGAGTGGGGAATAGTGAGATTTTCTTCTAATAATGCCATAAGACTAAATCTGAGAAGCCAAAGAAATCACAGAAAACGTAGAAGCAACAAATACTTCCCAGCTGACCCCGAGTTCTGGGGAAATGCTGCACAGAGCCCGGGTTCAGATGAGGAGTCCCCACGCTCCATTTCTGCCCCTTTAAAATGCAGAGGTGGTCTTTCCAAGGGGCAGTTGCCCCCAGCTGACCCAGGACTTTAAAATGCAGAGGTGGTCTTTCCAATGGGCAGCTGCCCCCAGCTGCCCCAGTGTTCCAGGGAAGTGCCGTGCGGAACCCAGGGTCACCTGCGGAGTCCCCAGCTGATCCCAGGTTCTGATGAAATGCCACACAGCCCAGGCTCCCCGCAGCATGGAGGTTCTGATGAAATGCCACACAGCCCAGGCTCCCCGCAGTATGGAGCACAACATGGAGCCCTGGGTCAGCGGGGGACTCTGAGTCCCCTGCTAACCACAGGGTTTCTGGCTTTGTAATGCACAAGAGCCCCTGCTGGGGACTCTTGTACATTTCAAAGCAGGCACCCACATACAGTGCGAGTCAGCAGGATTTCCCGCTGGCCCCAGGCTGCATGTGGAGTTCTTAATTCCTCCTTTGAAATGTACAAGAGTCCCAGGAAGTGCCTATTGACTAGTTGAGTAGTTGATGGAAATTCCATCGACTACTCCACTAGTCAATTAACCGCAATTTAACATCCCTAGTCTGGAGACATGGACTGAAGAAGAGGGAGGAGAAACCAAAAACACAAACCATACCCTTAGCCTGATAGCCTTCTCAGACTTCCAGCTGTTCCCTTTCCAGCCCTCTGAAGGTCACTTATGTCTGCCTCTGGTCCCATCAAATGAGATTCTACAAAGTTTAGGGCTGACCCTCTATCCTCATTCCACGAGGAGTAACGGTAGTTCGAACTAGGAAGCCTAGTTCCAACTGCCTAGTTCGTGCCGCGTGTAGCCGCGCGGCACAGGGTTCGAACCAGCCGGGATTTAAAAATGGCGGCACCCGGCTTATGCAAATGAAGCCCGGGAAATTCAAATCCTGGGCTTCATTTGCAATTGCGGTATGCCTACATTACCCTCCTATTTCGAATTAGGAGGGTAGTGTAGACATACCCTTAGTAACTTTCATGTTTTAATACAAAGACATTTTGATTCATCAGAGCTAAATATAATCAGGTGTAACATCTCTCTGCCCACCACTCCCATAACTTAGTCTTAGATTCTTCCTTCCTTCCTTCCCCATAGTGAATTTTGTACATAAAGAATACTGCCATATATTCATGGGGCAGAAGCTCTGAATAACAAATCTGTGAATGATAGTAAATATTTATTTCTCTACATTTTTAGGAAAACTTAGTGCTGAACTTGGTAAGTCTCATTTTGCTTCTTTCTACATTTTCTACACAGTTGTATATCCTGATAAGCAAGTTTTGATGTTGTAATTGGTGCTCTTGTTTGTTTAGCTTTTTTGCTTGCTTGATTTTGAGAAAGGGGGGCAGAGTTGTTTTTCTCATCATTTGTTAGTTGGGGAGTTCATTTTAAGTTTTAAAAAATGTGATATAAAGTACGATGGATCAATTTCACACAAAATTAAAAAGGAGACTTGAAAAGAAATGAACTTTCATATTTAACTTTGATCCTGACAATACTGAAAAATAGCACAGAAAATAATTGGAAAATGAATCTTCAGCATAAAAAGAAAATGAAAATTTTAAAAAGTGGTTCTATTTGAAAAATAAAGATTGTTTCTGAAAAAGGCACTTCTATTTACAAAATTGTCACTAGCTTTCAGATTTGACTTGCTGTGTATGAGCAGAACTTACTGAACTCAGTGGAACCACACATATTTGTAAAAAGTCTCAGGGAGAGGCCATGTTAGTCTGAAACTTTTAGAAAAAATGAGCAGATCTGTAGCAGCTTAAAGATTTTAATCATAAAAGAGTAGAACTGGAAGAGACTTTGAGAGATAAGTCCACTCCAATCACCCTCTAAATCATCCCTGATAGATGTTTATCTAACATGCTCTTAAATATCTCTAACGTTGGAAGTTCCTCAACATCCATAGGGCAATTTATTCTACATGTTTAACCACCTTGACAGTTAAGAAGTTTTTCCTTCTGTTGAAACTAAACTTCCCTTCCTACAATTTAAGACTATCGCTTCTTGTCCTGTCTTCAGATGTTGCAGAGAATAATTTTTCCCTCCTCTTTATAATATCCTTTTAGGTACTTGAAAACAGCTATCATTTCCCCTCTGTCTTCTGTTCTCCAGACTAAACAAGCCCAATTCTTTTAGTCTTCCCTCATAGGTTATGTCTTCTAAACTTTTAAGCACAATATATATTCTGCTCTCCCTCAAGTAAATGGGAGATTTTTTCACTGACCTTGGTGCAAACAGGATCAGGACTTTGTTATCAGTTATTTTGCATCATAATTCTAGTGTGTCTCTGGGGAAAATGTGATTCTAATTTATCAATACCACAAATGATAGGTCCTGGTAATATAAAAGGATGTGTTAAATGTGTAGCCTGTGAGGATATGTCTACACTTGATTCCTCTTTCAAGAGAGGAATGCAAAGGTAAACATCTGAAATTGCAAATGAAGTGGGGATTTAAATATCCCATGCTTTATCTGCATAATTGCTGACAGCTGCTAATTTGAAATAGCTTATTTTGAAATAAAAAACTGTGTTAAGAGGCGGTTATTTTGAGAGAAAACCTTTCTTCTGTAACAACCCTTGAGGTTTTAAGGTTTGCTTCAGAAGAAGTGTTTTCTCTCGAAATAACCGCCTCTTAACACAGTTTTTTATTTCAAAATAAGCTATTTCAAATTAGCAGCTGTCAGCAATTATGCAGATAAAGCATGAGATATTTAAATCCCCGCTTCATTTTCAATTTTGGATGTCTACATTTGCATTCCTCTCTCGAAAGAGAAATCAAGTGTAGACATACCGTGAGAGAGAAGCACTTGTTCAGCCTATGTGTGTTTCTGTTTTTTTTTGTTTAACTTATAGCAAGCTTTTTGGGAGAAATTCTATATGTGCTTTTCCTTGGTATATTATTCTGCACACTGTTGAAACCCATAGTATTTGTTCAGGTGAAACTTATCTCTGATTATGCATTTGGTTTCAGATTGGAGAAAACTTGCTGCCCCTTTGGAAAAAGGTAATCGAATATCATACTGTATCAATGCCCATTCCCTCCTACCAGAAAATGTTGCTCCTTCTCCCTGATTGTGGTACTGGGTAGTTCAGGACAGGCCTTATAAGCACCTGTTACCAGGGTAGAACTGGAAGAGACTTTGAGAGATAAGTCCACTCCAATCACCCTCTAAATCATCCCTGATAGATGTTTATCTAACATGCTCTTAAATATCTCTAACGTTGGAAGTTCCTCAACATCCATAGGGCAATTTATTCTACATGTTTAACCACCTTGACAGTTAAGAAGTTTTTCCTTCTGTTGAAACTAAACTTCCCTTCCTACAATTTAAGACTATCGCTTCTTGTCCTGTTTTCAGATGTTGCAGAGAATAATTTTTCCCTCCTCTTTATAATATCCTTTTAGGTACTTGAAAACAGCTATCATTTCCCCTCTGTCTTCTGTTCTCCAGACTAAACAAGCCCAATTCTTTTAGTCTTCCCTCATAGGTTATGTCTTCTAAACTTTTAAGCACAATATATATTCTGCTCTCCCTCAAGTAAATGGGAGATTTTTTTCACTGACGTTGGTGCTAACAGGATCAGGACTTTGTTACCAGACACTGACCTTGGTGCAAACAGGATCAGGACTTTGTTATCAGTTATTTTGCATCATAATTCTAGTGTGTCTCTGGGGAAAATGTGATTCTAATTTATCAATACCACAAATGATAGGTCCTGGTAATATAAAAGGATGTGTTAAATGTGTAGCCTGTGAGGATATGTCTACACTTGATTCCTCTTTCAAGAGAGGAATGCAAAGGTAAACATCTGAAATTGCAAATGAAGCGGGGATTTAAATATTCCATGCTTCATTTGCATAATTGCTGACAGCCGCAATTTTGAAATACCTTATTTCAAAATAAAAAATTCTGTTAAGACGTGGTTATTTTGAGAGAAAACCTTTCTTCTGTAACAACCCTTGAGGTTTTAAGGTTTGCTTCAGAAGAAGTGTTTTCTCTCGAAATAACCGCCTCTTAACACAGTTTTTTATTTCAAAATAAGCTATTTCAAATTAGCAGCTGTCAGCAATTATGCAGATAAAGCATGAGATATTTAAATCCCCGCTTCATTTTCAATTTTGGATGTCTACATTTGCATTCCTCTCTCGAAAGAGAAATCAAGTGTAGACATACCGTGAGAGAGAAGCACTTGTTCAGCCTATGTGTGTTTCTGTTTTTTTTTGTTTAACTTATAGCAAACTTTTTGGGAGAAATTCTATATGTGCTTTTCCTTGGTATATTATTCTGCACACTGTTGAAACCCATAGTATTTGTTCAGGTGAAACTTATCTCTGATTATGCATTTGGTTTCAGATTGGAGAAAACTTGCTGCCCCTTTGGAAAAAGGTAATCGAATATCATACTGTATCAATGCCCATTCCCTCCTACCAGAAAATGTTGCTCCTTCTCCCTGATTGTGGTACTGGGTAGTTCAGGACAGGCCTTATAAGCACCTGTTACCAGGTTTGCCTAATACTCTGGGGTATGCTCATTTATTAGGTTTACTCTTACAGGACTGGGGGAGGTTAACAATTCTATCCGTGTGCTGTTGGTGCTTACTTGTGCTCTCATATGGAGCTGAATTCTTCCTGCTGCCAATTCCCCCTCCCACTGGAGCTCTCCTGCAGGAACTAGGTTCCTCAGGACAGGGTTCCTCTTTCCTTAGCAACACACACAGACACTCACACCCAGTAATAGAGTATGTCTGAGAGGACTGGGTAATCAGCACTCATAAGCTGACCCCTTATATGTCCCTGGACACAGCTGGCTGGATTTAACAGCAATGCCACACTGCACCCTCATGTGCCTTTGGACTCAGTGGACTGGATTTCACAGCACTTTAAGTTGCCATCCTCATATGTCCCCAGGTTCAGCACCCGCTATCCCCACTTTCACACCACAATCATTCACTGGTAAACCACAGGATGAGCAAACCCCACAGGAGTCTGGGTACTACCAGGATTCTTAGCTTGGGTACAAGAAGCGTTGTTGCAGAGTGAATGGGGAAACTAAAACAACACCCCTTGAGGAAGACTGAGTGAAAGAGAAAGAAAAAGATAGCTGCAACCAGCTTAACAATGAAAGTTATTTATTTCTGAGTAGTGAATATAGATATATGGGGAGTCAAACACACAAAACAGTTACAATATTAAATCTAAATTGAAACTGATTACAAAATGTTAGGGCTAACAAACCATAAAGCAGTTTACATAGGACAGGGTCAGGAAGTTATGCTTATAGAGATGTATTTGGAGGGGTGGGGAGGAGGGAGGAAGAGAGAGACCTCACCACTCCATGGAGCTTGGACTGATCAAGGTTCCCAGATGATGATGGTAGCTGGGGGTCCAGGGGGCAGGAGACAAGCAGAACAGAGCCCCCAGCATGATTAGACAGGAGATGAAGAAATCTCAATGGAACTGATGCAGTTTAAATGCAGGTATCAGAACAATTTTTCTTGGGCCAGTGTAGGAGTTTTTATAGGGACAGGACAGTAGTTCAAAGAGACACACTGGATTTGTGTATGGGTAAATAGATGCGAGACAATAGAGACTGATCACACCTGGTTATGGGTGATGTTCCTTGAACAATCTCACAATGCAACTGGGCAGTTTCTGTATCATGGATGTCAATAGGATCCATGACTAGAATTGGTCTGATAATAACTAATTTGGGTGTGAGCAGGCCTGAGTTAATTAGCATCTGGAGCAGAGATTTCCCATCAGGCCATGCTTCTCTGCTTTCAGTATCCCATAGTTCAGTGCAGTTTGTGCTTTGGAAGAGCTGTTCACCATGGTGTATGCTCATGGAGATGTGTCTCTTTTCTATCTTCCATGTGTATGAGGCTGGGATGTTTCCTTAATTCCATCCCCCTTGTCTAGAGGAGTTTGATGTGTTTTCCCAAGCTTTTTCATTGCTTTGTCTGTGATTCAAACAGAGACCTGGGGGAGGGCGATGGTTTTCCATGAGTGTCACTCCCTGGCTCTGTGCGTCACTGCACAGCATTTTGTGAGGCAGGTTTTTTGCCTGTTCCCTGCCACAATGCAAAGCAGCCTGATAGTATCGCAGCTTTCCCCCTCCTCTGCCTCCATGTGCCCACCCCTGCAGAGCTCTCTGGGAGCATCCCAGTCATTGCACAGATCCAAGGGGACATGGCCCTCCCCAGACTCTCCTTGAGGAGAGCCAAGGCCATCAGTCCCCTTCCTGCTCTGGTCTCCTTACACATCCTCAGCCCTGTCTGCCTGGGAGAGGGACCAAACTACACTCTGTGGGGGAGGAACAAGACAGGATGATGGGAAATGGGAACAGTGCAGCCTGGAATTGCAGTCCGAGGGGCAAGGGTTGGAAAGGCAATAAAATGTAAGTAAAGAAGATCCTGCTTCCTGCAGCTGAGCCAGAGCCTGCAGTGGAGGAGAGATGGGTAGGGGAGCAGGGGTGAAAGTACTTTAAGCACTTCTGTTCACCACACTGGCTAACATGAAGCCACACAAACAATTCCTTCAAATGCTCTCATTCTCCTGTGCCACCATAGCACCACTCTTTGTACAAATGAGAGGTTATGAAAACACATCTTGCCAAATAAAAAGGTTCTTCTCTTCCCAAAGGACCAGCCACATTCTCAGGTTAGTTTGAAACTCAGAACTTACCCAAAAAGCCTGCTGTGATAATCTTTTAGAAGCTAAAATCTAAGGCTGTGTCTACACTGGCACCCTTTTCCGGAAAAGGGATGCAAATGAGACAAGTCAGAATTGCAAATGCCGCAGGGGATTTAAATATCCCCTGCGGCATTTGCATGGGGCCGCGCCGCTCGGCAGGCGGGCGAGCGGGCGGGACCCCGAGCAACACGGGGGAGGGCGGTGACGGGGTGAGGCAACCCCGCACCGAGGAGGGCCCCCCCAGCGGGGCAGAAAGGAACGCCGCGGCTGGACCTGCTGCCGCCGGGGACGCAGGCAGCAGGGCAGCCGGGACATGCCGCCAGGCTGGCGGCTCCAGGGACGCAGCCCGGGACAGCGCGGGGGAAGAACCCCCCCCCGGCAAGGTTAGTGGGGACAACCGGGCAGGGACGGCACCCCACCAGCCTCGGGGCGGGCAGCCCCGCGGGCGCCCCAGCCGGCCCTATGCCCCACAGCTGCAGGAGAGGGAGAGAACGCTGGGGGGTGAGGAGAAACAGCTGGGGAGGAGAAGCTGGGGCCGTGGATGAGCACAGGTGTGAGTGTTCTGGAGGGGCGGGGCGGCACCTTCCCCAGGTATAAAGTCAGGAGAGGCAGAAGCAGGGGAGGAGGAGAAGGAGGACGCTGGAGTCAGAGACTGAGAGACACTGAGGAGGCGGCGAGACCAGCCAGCTGGTGAGCGGACGAGCGAGGGCGTGAGGAAGCAGCCCAGGGCGGGTGTACTGGAGCCCGAGGGTTGATGCGTTGCGGCTCTGTGCCCCATCAGCCAGGTCGGGGGAGAGAAGAGGCTCTCCCCCCCCTTCGGGCCCTGGGCTGGGGTCTGGAGAGAGGGAGGGCCCGGACCCCCCTCACCTCCTCGCTCGTGGGATCTTCTGGGTAACCACCGGGAGGGCCGACCCGGCGCCGCGTCATGGAGACTGGGACCTTCCTGGGCGGCAACCGTGGTAGTGTGACTGCCCAGGACGGGGTGGGCCTGTGGACCCCGTAACACAGCCTAGGAGTGTTTCTGTTTCTTTTGTTTAACTTATAGCAAGCTTTTTGGGAGAAATTCTATATGTACTTTTCCTTGGTATATTATTCTGCACACTGTTGAAACCCATAGTATTTGTTCAGGTGAAACTTATCTCTGATTATGCATTTGGTTTCAGATTGGAGAAAACTTGCTACCCCTCTGGAAAAAGGTAATCGAATATCATCAGTGGAGAGAGTTAAGACGAGGTTGGACAGACACCTGTCAGGGATGGTCTAGATAGTGCTTGGTCTTGCCGTGAGGATCTTTTGAGGTCCCTTCCAGTTCTAGTATTCTATAAGTCTATGATTCTAATTGCAAAGTTTTTGGTGCAGGCTTATAGCAGAAATGGAA